GGCCCACCTGGAAACTGGTGCAGGAGGCAAGGGGAGAGGATGGGGGAAGGCAAACTGGGTGAACTCATTCTGTCCATTCCTTCTTGATGGACAGGTTCCACTCCCAGGTGAGATGGTCATGCTTGTCGTCATCCGTGAAGAAGGACTTGTTGTGATAGGTGCCTCGAGCCAGCATACCCTTAGGAGCCTCCTCAACAGGCGTCAGGAACTCGTACTCCTCTGGCCGTGGCCCATAGCTGCCGACCATGAATGTGGCTTTGTCCACTAGGAGAAAACAGTTCGCAAGGGATGAGCCCCTCAGGTGGGGAGTGATAAAGGAGAGAAGCAGCCACCAGCATGAGCACAGATCACAGACAGAAAGAAGATAGTTAGGAGAGAAAGGGACAGTCCGTGTCAGCAAGGGGAAGAGAATCAGTGGAAAAAGTGTGTTAAAGAAGCACAAAGACAGATGGGAAGGGTAAATGGATGGACAGGCAGATGGACAGACAATTCAGTCTGCACCCTCTCACATGTGTGTGCTGCTGGAAGGAAGCAGGTACATCCAGCATATGGTTCAAGGTCTCTCTTGATCCCCCACTACTTCTCTTTTCTGATGAGAAGACACCACTTATGTCTGATGAACGGGACGCTGGAGCCTTAGAGGTGGTTGCATGCAAAAAGGCACCTGTGGGTTGTGTGTGTGCAAAACAGGGCTTTTCTGTGCCTTCTCCAGGCAGAGCAGCACTGCACAAAAAGGAGAGGCCATGGGCAAACACAGAGCTCTGCACACAGCAGAAAGCTTCATAGAGCAGCTCTGAATTTTACCAAGTGCATCCAGAAGAGCTTTTAGGGGATGGGAAGCTCCACACAGGCTGGGACACTCTACAGGGGACATGGGGTGATGGGGGAGGTGAAGAGCTCTGTATGGAGAGGAAATCTGTGGCAAGCACTGTCTGAGCAGTGCCTCTGGAGACTCTGCTGCTGCAGACAGTGGTGTAGCACACAGATACCAGAGCTAGGTCACACCGAGTTTGCATAGGTACAGGAAACACTTGGCCTGGGTGATGCAGAGTGCAGGCTAACACACTCTGCTGAGAAGTCTCATCTCTTGCTTGGTGGAACAAGGCAGGCCTTGGGACCAGGGATGGCTCTGTCCCAGCCCAGAGCTGCAGGAACACTTTTTTGAGCAGAAGGGCTGCAGGGGTAGGAGCACTGGTTTGCAGGGCATGAAGCACTTTTACTCACCCTTCACCCCTGTCCGGTAGGTATGCTGCACGTATTTCAGTCCCGACACAATGTCCCTGTTTACCTGCAAGAAGTGACCAGAAGTAAGTGTAAAGGGAAGGGTTTCTGTTCTGTATCTGCTGGTTCTCCCTCTTCAGAGACACGGCCATCTTGGCTCCCTGCGCCACTGCTCTCCAAAGCTCAGCATGGGACACATTGTGGGGAGTCCTATCATGACTTCTCCATAAGCACTTGGAGACCTTCAGCATCCTCTGTGCATCTCCTACACAACTCCATCCTTTCCTTGACTTTGAAGCTGACTGGAGCATGTCAGTTAGCTTTGCAAGATGGGCTGATGAGGACAAAGAAAAGTGAAGCAGGAAGCTCCTGGCTAATAATTTCCATATCGAAAACCAGACATGGGCGAATAGAGAGACAGAGACATCCCTCAAGCACAAACAGGTGGGCAAGATTAGCCAAGCACTCCTAGCTGCCCTCTAAGCTCCATGGGAAGCTGGCAAGTTTCTCCTCAATAGACAGAGGGTCACAGTCCTGTTCATAATCTTTCCTCAAATCTCCCACAACACTAACACTTTCCCTCCTCTGTTTCAGAACTATTCTCCATCCCTTTTTGCCTTCTCTGCCAAAGCCAGCTTTGTCTGCAGCAAACGCATGGAGATGATCGCTTCAGTGCTGGATGCCACACTGCAGTGTGGTCAAGTTTCATCTTCAGCTGGAAACAGAAGAAATGGCTGATACTGGTTAATGGGAGAGGGGGAGAAATGAGCCTATTTGGGTATATCATAACCCAGAAGAGCTCAGGTATCTTCAGCCAAATGCTACAGTGTTAAATCTCTTTTTATGCGTACATGAAGCCCACCAATGCAGACTGAACCAGTACTCCATGGAAACCCTCTTCTCCCTGTCCATTTCCACTTTGTGTGAATTAAAGATTTTCTGGTGGCTAAAAAGCCAAGCCAAACTCAGCCAAAACTACCCAGCTGGCTTCCAAATCACCTGTTGTTTACCATCACGGATGGACAGAAAGCAACTTCTCCCACAAGGGGGAAGCAAATAGAAGCAACTCCCTGCAAAGACCTGGTCCCATGTTGGGTAGAATGACACCTGAAGCTAGGGGAGCTTTACAAGGGCCTAGCTTTCGGGCAGGCACACTGCCTGTCTCTAGTGATCCAACAGACTACCAGTGACTGGCCTCAGTGATTGATGAGAAGCGACAGGAAGGAAAACAACTCACTCTGAAGTGGATCTTAACTCTGTATTCCACTCCCTCCTTTAACATGAAGATCTCTTTCTTGAGTGCTTCAAGGTCACCTGTAGGGAGAGGACCAAGCCATTAGCTAGGGGTGTCAGAGCAAGAAGAGACCACATGTGGTGGGATAGGGCTGGGAGTGGTGTCAGAGGTGAGCATCCCTTCAAAGGATGGCACACCTGCAAAATGAGTACGTGACGGTCTGTATAAGCAATTGCACCTACACAGAAACATCTGGGAGTACATAGGTATCTGTGTCCACATCTATAAAGATAATGCCTAAATAAACACAGGTCTAGGCACATATAAACAAAGATACTTATGCACAGGCTCGTCTATAGGCATCTGCAGGAGCGTGTGCATGCTTCGCCCACGCTCAGCCCTGGTCTGCGTGAGCCGAGTGTCTTTTGCAGCCCCTGCCCAGCTTGTGAGGCCGCCCAGGCTCTGCAGGGCTCTGTGTGGTTTCGGTTGAAGAGGAAGCTTCTCTGCTCCTCTGGGCCCAGCTTCCTCTCTCTGCAGAAAAGCCCATATAAGGTGAAGCCTGGTTCTCTACCCATGTCCCCAGGAGCCGGAACTGCAGTATTGCTCGATTCTGAAGTTTCATAACAGCTCGTTACCCGAACACATGCATATCCTTTATGCTCATGAGGTCTCATTGAAAGGAAGTAAGAAGAGAAAGTAGGAGAATCCCAGGAGCTCCTAGACCACCCTTGACACTCTCAATTACATCTCCTTTTCTTTTTCAAACGCATATATCTTAAAATAAGAAACTAGGCTAAGATGCCCTCAGAGTTTCTCTAAAACCCACTGTAGCATCCCAAGGGCAAACCCCCTTTCAATCTGAAGGATGCCAGGGCCTTTGCTTGTTCCCCTTCATGCCAAAGGATAGAGTTCATGCCTACCTGTAAGGTCCATAGTGATCGGTCCTGGAGCAGAGTCACATACCAGGGTGAGTCGGGTGACCACCACATTGGGAGCTGTTGGGTCTGCAGGGAGGAATGGCAGAAGGAAGCTGTCAGCTTGCAAAATTTAATGCAGCAGGAGAGGAACAACACTGAAGAAATGGGGGTCACTTTCCCACACAGAAACCGCACTTCATGGAACACTCAGTAACACCAGGATTCCCTTAGCATAACAGGACCACACATCTACCCCAGTTCTTCATCATGGATTCCTCCAGCCTCTGTCCCAGTACCTAGAGGAGCTCTTTCCACTAATGGACACTCCCCTCTTACAATCATTCTGAGCAGCAAGGCCCCCTTTCAGCATAGACTGGTACCCTCATGTTCCTAACCCCTCAGGAGGCCTCCAAGGCTCACACACCTCCCACCACGAGTCCCTTTCCAATATCACTCCCTAGTAACCTTACACCTAATGATCAGAGCATCTTCCCTGCTCCCTTACAGGCATCTCTCCACTTGCCCATCCCCAAACCTCCAGGGCATATGCTTGGTCAAACAAGCTCCCTCCTCATTGAGGCCGCCTTGCCCCATCCCCACAGCACACTGTTGCAATGCATCTCCCCAGTCCCTTCCCATCAGCATGCCGCAGCCTACCTACTACCACGGGGCCATCTCCCAGCAGGGACTTCTTGTACTTAGCGAGGCTTTCATCGTCCTTGTCCAACTCTTGCAGCTCCTGCAGTGTTTTCTGGGGAGGAGGTTTGTAGTTGAGTTTCCCATCCAGCTCATCATCATCTTCCTCCACATGAGGTTCTTGGGTCTTCTCAGTCATGGTCGCTTGGTCTGGGTAACAGAGGAGGGGACAGTCAATGTGATCGCTCTGGAGAAAGGTAGTGTCCCCAGGGGCACTTGCTCTGGGTACAGTGTGGCTCGGTCCCCCAGGCAGGCAGGCACCTGCCCAGTGCCGAAAAACAGCAGGATTGCTATAAGCAAATGGCGACGGTGATCGGCTGCAAACTCAATACTGCCGTGCTGATATTCTGGCTCAAACAAAATCCCCCTCTGCCCCCGCTCCTCTCCCTGCAGGCACCAGGCATACACGCAGACCTTCACCATTCTTCACTGCTGGGGAGGAGGCGCAGGAGCAGAGGCTGAAGCCAGAGTGATTTACAGCCACTCTGCAGCATGGTTGCTGGCCGGCAACCCTGCAATTACAAGCCTCTGTGGAAGGTTTCAGCACTCATCAGCTATCTCACACAAAGAGCCACAGCCACACACTAGGGCACAGAGAGACACAAGTAAAGCCAAAGCCAGAGGTTTCATTCACCCCCTCATAATGGGTTAAAAGCCACGTTTCATAAAAAGATCTAATATCTGACAGCAGCTCCCTTATACTAGCAAGCTAGCTGAAGCCCTCAAGAAAATGCACCCACTACAGACTGTCTGCTGGCATTCCCAGTGCTTGCTCCCAAGAACAGCTCACTTCAGGCAGTGATCAGGTCTCCTTCCCACTGGGGAAGGAAGCACGACGGTGACCACATCCAGCCTGGCTGCAGACCAGCCATGCGTACCTGTGCTGCATCACTGGGGCTTCTTGCAAAGGAGAGGCAGGATGGCTGGAGCCCGCAGCCAGCACAGCTGGGACATGCGCTGCTGAACGCAGGAGGGCAGCGAAGCTGCTCGGGTGGCATCCCAAATGAGAGAGAGGGAAGAGATGAACCGACAGGCAGGCAAGGTATGGAACGGGGGAACAGAAGGCAGGCAGGAGAGGTGAGTAGTGCTATGCCAGGTCCACCTTAGTCAGCTGCCTTCCTCACTGAGCCAGCTGCATGGTCCTAACCACCTTGTACTCTGCAGAGAAAGACTGAAAAACAGCAGTGCCCTGGTGCAGTGGTGGTTGTCGCAAGTGGCCAACTTGTTCCTTACTGTTTGGCAGCAAAAGAATTTGGTCAAGCTACACAGATCATTCAGTTCACTTCCACATATCCTTATATTAACTCCTTCTTCGAGGCTGTCCCTACTAAAAATCCCCTTTTGCCTGCTTATTTGGAGTTCTTTATGCTTCTCTGCAGTTGTGGCCTTAATATTTGCCCCCACTCCCAAAACTTAAACTGGGAGCTAGCAGGATAGTTTTCTCATTCATTAAAACAGAAAGGAAATATAAAAAATATATATATGCAACAGTTCAGGGTGAATCAGCAAGTGGAATCAGGCAGCAATGAGTAATATGCAGACCTCTCTGCAATACCAGTGGGGGAAAAAAAAAAATCAAGGGAGGTATATTGCACAGGAACAAGACGACTCAATCAGGCATGCTAATGGGCAACGGCCATTGCAAGAGTACTTTGCAATTTTGTGGTGAGTCAGGAACTACTGCAGAGCGGGCAGCTGGGAAATAAAAGCTGAATAACCTTGGCTGAGTTCACACCCAGCCCTAGGAATGTGAAGGACCTACACACCATGGAAAAGGCCCTGGAGCTTGTCCTCATGAGGAAGGTAACCATGAAAGCAATGACTGCTCATGTCCCACTGCTCTGCAGCCCCAACACAGTCACCTTACAAAGCCTCGCAATCCCCTTAGTGCCATCCCACACTCAGCATAGGAAGAGGACATGATGAGCTGTGGTAGCCACCACCAGGTCTTGCCTTCCACTTGGGCTCCAGCTGCAGATCTGAGTTACTTCCACTCTCCCAAGCTCTTGCAATACCAGGCTGCATCTGCCACCACTACAACCACAAAGCAGAGCTGCCTGCCTGCCCCCATCCTCCGCAGGGGGAGTTGTGGTTTATCACAGGACAGGGAGAGACCCAGGCGATGGAGAAAGAGATCTCTGGCCGCACGCAGAGAAAAGGCAGAGTCATCACTGGACCAGCTGGTTGCTCCCCATCCCTCACTTTCCCTTTGCATCACACGCGCCACAGAGACTTTTCCTGCCAGACCATGGGGGCAGCTCACTTGAGGGGGAATGCTTTCAGACTCAAAACCTTCCAGAAAGGTGGACTGACCACCTGTTTTGCCAACAGCGAGAGCCTGGAGAAAATAGGACCAGCCAGGCTGTCTGGGCTGGTGAACCTCTGGCTCACACATGTCTCAGGATAGCACCAATCAGACCCCTTTCTGGCATTTCCTCCCAAGCTGCGAACCTGACCTTGCCTTTCTGCCAAATTCCCAGGCAGGAGGTGACCAAGAAGAAAGCTCAAATCCCAACAGCTCCTGCCTGTACTTGCTCCAGCTCTGACATATGCTACTGGGCTCAGGCATCAGCACTTCCCCAGAGCAAGCATGCTGGTGCTCAAATTGTCAGGGTCCCCAAGCACCAGTGCCACTGCCCAGGCCAAGGGCTAGTCTAAGATGGAGACCTCTTTCAGGCCATGAGCCTCATTAAAAATGAGAAGATTAACCCTGTAAATGTTCTATGCAATGAGAAATCTGGGTGATGTGTGCCTTGCCCCACCACATTTTTCTTGCATTCCTGGAGCCCCAACCTGCAGTCATGCATCTCCTACACCTCTGAAACCACAAAGCAGCAGGAAGAGGGGTAGGGGCAGCGTTAGGGACCCCTGCCAGAGAGAGATGGCTGCAGGAGGCAAAGGAGGAATCGCACCCTGGAGGCGTGCTAGCGTCTCCCAGCTGGGCTCTGCCTGTGCCGGGGGTGGGTGTCTGTCCTCGCACCTGCAAACAGGGAGGGTCAGGGGAAGCAGCAGATGCAGTGGGTGGAGGGCAGCAAATGCAGTGGATAGTGGGCAACCTCCTTGCCCTCACCCCACGCCGCCACGGGGCACAGAGAGGGGTGTCACAAGGGTAGTATTTTATTTACCCTCCCTCTGTGCATCCTTCCCCTAAATCACCCCGTGATCGAGGGCTTATCTACAGGAAGCGGGTTTGGCAGGGAGGGAGTAATTTTCCACCATGCGGGGGGAGAACCACACCGGCCCCATCAGCGCCCTCGGCTCTTCCACCACCACCCCACCCCGCATCTCATTCCCCTAGGGTAGGAAGACAGAAAGAGAGCCCAGGGACCGCTGGGTACCACACC